AGAATTTCCCTCGCGCGACGAGCCTTGTGTGGAATTATTAGCTTTGTTTTTCGCGGGGACGGGGTGGTGAGGAGGAGGGGGGAGGGGGGGGGGGAGGGGAGAGAGAGGGGGGCCTGATCCAAAGGGAGGGAGGATCTCCTCCCCCACCCCCGAAGGAGGTGGAGGGAAGGGAGGTAAGATACTCGGGGGTAGGGGGAGCTGGGAGGGATGGTTTGGCCCGGGGGGGAAAGTAGGGGAGGAGGGGGGAGGGGAGGAGAATGATCGGTGGAGGGAGGAGGAGGAGAGGAGGGAGAATGATCCGGGGGAGGGAAGGGAGGAGGGAGGGGAGAGAGGATAGGAGAATGGTCCGGGGATAGGGCCTCTGAGGGGGTATAGGAGGAGGTTACAGGAAGAAGGAGAGGGGAAGTTGTGTGTGGGGGGGGGGAGGAGGAAAGAGGGAGGGAGGAGAGGAGGATCCTGGTCCGGGAGATGGGGAAGGGGGAGGGGCTTAAAACACAGAAAGACAAGGGTAGGAATGAAAATAGGGGTTACAGGTAGGGGGAGAAGGGAGAGGAGAAAGATGGGGGTTGGGTTTGAAAGGGGAGAGGGATATAGGAGGAAGAGACACAAGGGAAAGAGGGGTGAGAGGGGACACAAGGGAAGAGGGGTGAGAGGGGACACAGGGGAAGGGACTGGGAGAGAAGGGACTAGGAAGAGGAGAAAGGGGGTTAATAGAAGGAAAAGGGGGATAGGAAGGGAAAAGAGAGGATTATGATAGAGAAAAGTTCGGGTAGGAATGGCTAGGGAGGTAGGGTAGCTAGGAGGGGGAGAGGGGGCGAGGGAGGATAGCTAGAAGGGGAAGGAGGGGAAAGGAGGAGGGGAGGGAGAGAGGGGGATAGACGGGGAGAGGAGAATAAACTATGAATGAGGAGAAAGGGAGGGGGTGGAGATGGCTATGATAGTGCGGGGGTAGGTGAGGGGGGGGGGAGATAAAGACAACAAGAGGGGAGGAGGAGGAGGAGGAGGAGGAGGGGGTAGACACATCAAGGGAGAGGGAGGAAGGAGGAGGCAAGGTGTGAGGAAAGGGGGAGAGGGGAGGGAGGGTGATGGGGAGGACTCTAGGAAGAGAGGGGGAGAAGGGGACAAAGGAATGGGAATGGGACAAGGGAAGCGAATATGGAAAAAAGTAGGGAAGAAAGATAAAGAAGAGAGAGAGATAGAGAGAGAGAGAGAGAGAGAGTGAGAGAGAGAGGAAAAAAATGGAGAGGGGAAAGTAGATACAGACAAGAGAATGGTAGTGAGCTGCCTCTGGTTACAAGGTGGGGGAAGGGTGGGGGTGGGTGGGGGGAGGGATAGGGGGTCTAAGCTTTACTTTGATGTTCGTATTTTTCGTCTGACGCCAAAAGAAGACTGGGAACTTTTAGGGAACTTTTCTTTCGGTGGCGGGGCAGGGGAAGGGGGATGGGGGGGGTGGGGTGGGGGCACCTTGTTATAGAGCTCTTGTTGTGGTCCATCTGATGGGTTTAGAGTCCGGAGCTGCAAAGAAGCGGAGTCCTCTGATGGGGATATATTTATATTGTGTGTGTGTGTGTGTGTATATATATATATTATATATATATTATATAATATATATATATATATATATATATATATATAATATATATATATATAATTATATGTATGTATGATGATGTATGTATGTATGTATGTATGTATACACACACACGCACACAGGAACAGGAAAACGTTCGCATTAACGTTTCAGAATCGGAAAGAATTAGACTGATGAACAAATAAAATGGATTATTGTTATCATTAATATCAATGTTATTATAATCATTATTGATGTTATTTATTTATGATTTCATTTTGTTGTTGTCATTGTTATATTATTATTATTATTATCATCATTACTGTTATTTTGATTTTCATTGTTATTATTACTATTCTAATTAATTTCGCTAAAGTTAATATTATAATTATTATGACTATTATCATAACTATTATTATATTTATCAAAACTATTATCATTATATGGATATCATAACTTTGATTAGCATCATTATCATTGTTATTACTATCACCATTATCGCCATTGCAATCATTACCATCATTGCTATTTATTTCCATGAGTGTATTAATGTTAATTAATGTCTATGTGTTCTCTTTCCAGGTAAATCAACGAGCCAGGCCGAGTTATTTCAGCATATAAGGTAGATGTTATTTCAGAAACCTTTTTTATGTAATCTAGTTTTTTTTTGTTTATTTTTTGTTTTTGTTTAAATCAGTGCATTTATTGTCGTAGGAATGGTAATTAACTTACAAACATGTAAAGGATATGAATGTGCGTATGTATGTATGTATATGTGTGTGTGTGTGTGCGCATATATACATATCTATTTATCTATCTATCTATATAGATAGATAGGTAGACTGATAGATATGTATATAGATATGTACGTGTGAATACGTACCATTCAAATACGACACCATAATGCAAATGAAATACACCTTTAAAAGATTCGCCCGCAAGCTTACAAACACAAACCAGCTGCAATGACTTCTTTAGCCAATCCTCTCAACAATTTAAAAACAGCTCATTTTCCTCATCAAAATACACAACACACAAACAAGCTTTTTTGACTTTCCCTGGAGACTCCTTTCTAAAAAAAAAAAAAAAAACACACCCTTCTAAGATTCCTAAAATCTTGAGAAATACCGACACGACTCCGAAGATGAAGAAGAAGAAGAAGAGGAAGAAGAAGAAGAAGAAATAGAAGAAGATGATGATGATGATGATGAAACAGAAGGCAAAGAAGATGAAGAAGAAAGAGAAGAAGAGAAGAAGAAATAGAAGAAGATGATGATGATGATGATGAAACAGAAGGCAAAGAAGATGAAGAAGAAGAAGAAGAA